CACACCAAAACACATACAGACCAGAGATTTGTAAAAAAAAAAAAAAAAAAAGAGCTTTAGAAACATGTACCACAAAACACATAGACACAGAGCTCAGCAGGGATCAAGCATAAGGCTTTGGGAGGGACAAATGTGCTAATACTGTCTGTATCCACACGCTTTCATCCTTTCATCCATCTCACAGATCTTTTTGCTCTTGCTCTCTCTCCATCTCTCTTTGGAAAAGTTAGCAAGTGCGGGTAGGATTACCCAAGGCGCTGTGGTGGAAGAGTCACAGTCTGTCAGACAGCACAGTGAGATGCACAGTAATCTGCATCTCTAGCTTTTATGAAAGCTCACACATATGCACCACAGGAAGACAGAGACTCTAAAATCTTTGTAAAAAAGTTTTAGCCTGTTTTCTGTCGACTTGTAGAAGGCATGAATGATGGCTGCTTATCTTGGGACCAGGGACAGAGGGATGTGGGCGAAAACAGGAGAAGAAAAAAAATAGCTTTGATCGGTTGAACACATGGCCAAGGCAGGGAAAATTTCCAGATCTTGCTGGTTCTTGACAGTGTGTTCAATCAATCAAAAATAGCGAACACTTTCAAACCACTCTTCTTCACGATTCCGCTGTCCTGTTGCTCCTGTTCTGTTTGGCTGTCTTGACTATATTCTCAAAATCAGACATCACTGGCCTTATCATTTAGATTTCTTCCAGGTTCTGTCTCAGGCCTTGCTTTCTTTTTCTTCTCTAAGTGTTCCTCTGTATGATTCCTTTAATATACTGGAAGAAATTCATACTAAGCCCTTTGCCCTGCTCCTTAGACACCAAGGTCCAAATCCAAACTTTGTTTTTCCTTTGTTTCTTTCTTGTTTTTGGCATCCTTCTTTCCATTTCTATTGATCTCCCTCTTGAGAGATTCTCTCATCCTACATCATTCTCCCCCACCTCTTCCCTCCACCCACATAGGGAGATGGGTGAAAACAGAAAAAAGAAGAAGAAGTGATGTCCTTTGATCCTTTGATTGTTGGAACACTTGGCCAAGAGAGTGACCAGAGAAAGGGATACTTCTTCATGTGCACTTTCCAAATCTTGCTGGTTCTTTTTAACCACTTTTCTTTACACATCTGCTGTCTGTGCTCCTATTCTGGTTGGCCTTCCTCTTCCGTTGTCCTGGTGTTACTATTCTGGCTGGCAGTAGTGTTTTTAGGGTGTTTTCAGATGCCTTTGGCTTCAATCTGCAGCCAGAGGTAAGAATAAAACCAGAGGAAGGGATACCTATGGCTCGAGTTGGCACAGTGTTGGATCAGCCTCTGAGAGTCACCGTAACTGGGACAGACTTGCCCAAATTCCCCTACAGTTGCCTTCCAGCCACATGTATGCCTGCTCTGACAAGACACTTGCTCCAGAAATGTTTCGCCCAAGGATGTGGTGACAGAACAAGGGACAGGACAAAACAGCCATGAGAGGTTCTGTCAGTGAATAAACTGGGATTTGTCCACTAGCTTATTCCCTTCAAAGCTTCTGGAACATTTTACATGCAAACTCTAAGCTTGTGACTTAAACTTTGCCAAGTCTTGCTGACCATCATCTCAGTTACACTCTGAGACATCACTGGCCTCTGATCCTCAAAATGGCTTCCAGGTTCTGTCTTTGCTTTCCTTTAATATCTGGGAAGCATCTCACACTGAGCTCTTTGGCCTGTTCCTCCAAATCCAAACTTTGTTTTCCATTCTTCTTCTTTCTTGTTTTTGTGTGTCCATCTTTCCATTTTCTATTGATCTCCCACTTGAGAGATTCTCTCATCCTCCATATCTTTGTCCCCCACCTGGTTCCCCCACCCCTCAGTTTCCACTGCCTCTGTCTAGGCCCTGTGTATGTACTGATAGCTATAGTGTTTACACACACTTGTCCACACACAATCTTCTCAGCTAGATAATCTTGTTTCTCATCCTCAATGGGAAAAAACAAAGACAACGTGAGCCCCCTTTTATATCTTAGGAGATTCTCACTTTCACGTCTCACATATCTGCAACACTCTCTTTTTTTCCTGTAGGAATAGCGGTAAAATTGAGTGCAAAAAGTTGATATAGGGTTTGATTAGGGTGGGACGATTGCCACACTCCCACACATTATTTCATTAATTCTATCTCCTTACCCCAAATGTAGTCAATCAAGCAAGATATACATATTTGGTTCAAGTTCATCCAGAAGTTTGCTTCTTCATTTTGCACTGGAGCTCTGAGGTTAATATTGCTAACAAATAAGGGAAGCTTCTGGTCTCTGGTTTAGCATCATGCACCTTGCACCTCATTTCCACCTCACATTGTATATTCGGTTAAGAACCACCTGACAAACCTGTAAAAACACTGCAAAGTTAAAAGCAGTAGTAGCTCACTTCTGATTGGCTAAAACGGTTCAATAAATTTGAGTCTGAGTTTAATGCCACCAAAATTGGAATTTTGTGCATCTGATAATTACACGCCTAAAATTCTAAATGTACAAGATTCTAATCCAAATCTTAGTGGCACAAATATCATTCCATAATACAACACAGAATAAAATGGAAACATGAATCATACACAAGAACAAATTAAAAAAATATATTTAATATCGGTATATAAATATATATAATCATCAAATCCAGGATTGCCAGGGCTACAGTTTACTGGAGACTAATGTTTGGGTGCATAAATTTTTCATATATTAAATTCATTATATTATTGTTTTGCAAGCAAAATAGGTCAATTACTGTGTCATTGAGGTCTTTTATACACCGATCAGCCATAACATTACGACCACCTGCCTAATATTGTGTTGGTCCCCCTTTTGCTGCCAAAACAGCCCTGACCCGTCGAGGCATGGACTCCACTAGATCCCTGAAGGTGTGCTGTGGTATCTGGCACAAAGACATTAACAGCAGATCCTTTAAGTCCTGTAAGTTGTGAGGTGGGGCCTCCACGGATCGGACTTGATGGACAGCACACCCCACAGATGTTCGATTGGATTGAGATCTGGGGAATTTGGAGGCCAAGTCAACACCTTGAACTCTTTGTCATGTTCCTCGAATCATTCCTGAACAATTTTTACAGTGTGGCAGGGAGCATTATCCTGCCAAAAGGCAGGACCCAAAGTTTCCCAGCAGAACATTGCCCAGAGCATCACACTGCCTCCGCCAGCTTGCGTTCTTCCCATAGTCCATGCTGGTGCCATCTCTTCCCCAGGTAAACGATGCACACGCACCCGGCCTTCCACATGATGTAAAAGAAAATGTGATTTATCGGACCAGGCCACCTTCTTCCATTGCTCCGTGGTCCAGTTCTGATGCTCACCTGTCCATTGTAGGCACTTTTGGCAGTGGACAGAGGTCAGCATGGGCACTCTGACAGGTCTGTAGCTACACAGCCCCATACGCAGCAAGCTGCGATGCACTGTGTGTTCTGACACCTTTCTATCATAGCCAGCTTTAACTTTTCAGCAATTTGTGCTACAATAGCTCTTCTGTGGGATCAGACCAGACGGACTAGCCTTCATTCCCCACGCGCATCAGTGAGCCTTGGGAGCCCATGACCCTGTTGCTGATTCACCGGTTGTACTTCCTTGGACCACTTTTGGTAGGTACTAACCACTGCATGCCGGGAACACCCCACAAGGCCTGCTGTTTTAAAGATGCTCTGACTCAGTCATCTAGCCATCACAATTTGGCCCTTGTGCTTGCCCATTTTTCCTGCTTCTAACACATCAACTTCGAGAACGGACTGTTCACATGCTGTCTAATATATCCCACCCCTTGATAGGTGCCATTGTAATGAGATAATCAATGTTATTCACTTCACCTGTCATTGGGTGTGGATTAAAATTATGGCTGATCAGTGTATATATGAACAAACAAACAAACAAAT